CAAAAAAAAAAAAAAAAAAAAAGAATATTACTGTAATTGATTCAATGCTGTAGAACTCAAATAGATTGTGTGTGTGTGTGTGTGTGTGTGTACTCCCTGATAAGGAAAAATATCTGATACTTGTACAGGTAAAAACTTTTAGGAATAGATAATCCTTAAGATCAGCGGTTCTCAACCTGTGGGTCATGAACCACAGGAACTGTATTAAAGGGCTGCAGCATCAGGAAGGTTGAGAACCACTGTTCAAGATTTTACCAATTAATTCTGCACACAGGGCCTCTCGCTGGAGTCCTAGGGAAGATGTTGGAGTGGGGGGGGGGTGTCCTTGACTGAAGACAAAGGAGCTTTGTAAGAATTAAAAACAGTCCCATGTGGGCGGCGCCTGTGGCTCAAAGGAGTAGGGCACTGGTCCTGTATGCTGGAGGTGGTGGGTTCTAACCCAGCCCCAGCCAAAAACTGCAAAAAAAAAGTCCCACCTTCAACAACTGGGACCACTACACAGTCCCCCACCTGCATCCTGGTGAACCCTAGTCCATCTCCTGAAACCAAAAGCAGCCAAAAGGTTCAGTGCTGCTACTGGGCCCCCACAACTTTGCCCTCAGGAATACTGCAAGAAAGGGTATACACCAAAAAAAACTGCAAAAAAATAAATAAATTGAAAAAAAAGGGGCGGTGCCTGTGGCTCAAAGGAGTAGGGCGTGGGCCCCATATACCAGAGGTGGTCGGTTCAAACCCAGCCCCAGCCAAAAACTGCAACAACAAAAAAAAAGGGTGTACATACCACCCCACCACATCAATGAAGAGCCAAGGGTCCATGAAAAGAAACACCATACTGATGAGAAGCCAACCACCTTGGTGACACCTCACCCACTTTGAATCATTCAGCCATGTGAATGGGCACTGTCAAGCCAGATCTGCCTGATCACCCGGCATGCCTGATACAGAACAGAGTGTAGGCAAAGGAACACTCATGAAAGTGATCCCAAGGATGTCCTCGTGGATGAGCTGGGAGGTGAATTCTGTTGAGAAGATGGACCTAGAATAAGAAACATCTAAGCACCTGCTGAAGGCTCAGGACAACAAAAGGTGGAGGACCCAGGATGAGTGGCAGCTCACGCAGGAGAAATCACTCCCCACTGCCTGGTGAAGGCGCATTAGGGAAGAAGAGCCAAATGGTTCCCCCCAAAGGCCGCAGTGGGACTGTAACCCACTGTCCCTACACTGTGCTCTGCTTCTCAAAACTTGGACCAGGGGAGAGTCCATGTATGACCCTTCAAGGAAAAGGGGAATGGACACAGCATCCCCTTCCTTCACATCTATCTACAGGTCCCCTGAACCCAGAGAAAAGCTTGCTTATGAGGTTTCTGTTGCCCACGGGAATGCAGTCCTTTTCTGTTAGGAAAAGTGACCCCTTCCGTTGGGAGGTTAAGTCCCACACCCGCTGGACCGAACCGGCCCCCAACTCTCCCAGGCCTCCCCAAACCCAAAATGGAACCTCCAGGAAAAGACTTCTCCCCAGGCCACACAGCCCAGCGGGATCCCAGGCGGGGTCTCACTGTGGACAGCAGACTGGACCCCAGCTGGGTCCCGCCCCCGCGCCACCTGGGGGCCGCAGGTCGGACTCCTCCCACCAGACAGCAGGTGCAAAGAGCAGACTCTCACACACATACACGACTCACACACACACCTCATACACAAACACACAACTCACACAAACTCACACCTTACACACAAACAGGCATAACTCACACACACACCTCACACACAAACATGGCTCACACACAGCTCACACACAAACATGGCTCACAGACAACTTACACAAACTCACACACACAAACTCACCCACAAACACCTTCCACACAAACAGGCATAACTCATACACACACCTCACACACAAACATGGCTCACACACAACTCACACACAAACATGACACACACAGCTTACACAAACTCACACACACAAACTCACCCACAAACACACACCTTCCACACAAACAGGCATAACTCACACACACATCTCACACACAAACATGCCTCACAAACACACACACACATCTCACACACAAACAACTCACACCACACAAACACACACAACTCACATAAACACAACTCACACACACACCTCATAAACATACACAAAAAACAACTCACACAAAGACCTCACACAACTCACACCTCTCACACAAACACACACAACTCTCTCACACACACTTCCGCTGCACGTCGGGCACACACTCGCACCCAGCGGCTCGGGAGGTCGCGGTCTGGGAGCGGACCGGCCCTGGAGGTCGCAGGGCCCACGAGGCTGGGGGAGACTCACATCCACCCACTAGGGGCCTGAGGCAGCCGTGGATCCCGCGGTGCGTCCGGTGACTCCCGCGGCGGTTTCTTCAGCCCGGTCGTTTCTCCTCCACTCCTGGGACTCCGGCCCATCCTCTCTGGCCACTTGATAGGGCGGACCAGAGCACCGCGAGGCCTGGCCACCGGCTCTCCCGCTCTCCAATTGCCCCGGGGCGCCGTCCAGAGGTAACTGGAACTGTCACTGGGACGGCATGTGTGGCAGGCGTGGCGCGCATGCGTAGTGGGTCTGCAGGACTCCCGGAAGTCAGGTTGGGGCAGCCAAGTGACCTCGCAGGGGGCGGGGTTTGGGGAGGGAGCAAGAGACTGTGCCGGGGACCCAGGCCCAGACCCCAACATCCTGTCCTCAGGACCCCTTGGAGCCCAGCTCTTGATCTCTTCTTGGTGGAGGCCCAGCTTGAAGTCGAGGGAAGAACCGTCGGTGTCCCCTTGGGATCTCATTTTGGGCTGGATGGTGTGAACAGGAATGTGTTTACATGGCAGTGGGGATGAAACCTGGCTAGGGGATATGGGTTTGTTGGGGCATCCTGGTTTTTAGAGTCCCCAGGCTGAAAATTCACTGACCGTTGCTCGTGTCCACTGCCTCCTTCAGACGTGGGCTTCCCGGGTCTGCCCCTGTTACTCCACACTAGGAGATCTTGCTTGTCTCCACCACTGCTCAGCCAAGGTGGAAACATACACGTAGGCAGATCCAAGAGATTGCACAGGTAACCACAGGTGGGTCACTAGCGATCATGGGAGCTCACAAGGGCAGGCAGAGCACAGCAGGTGTTTCAGAAGCAGGACTGGGTTACCCCGGACTGACAGGGACCAGTGGTCTGCTTCCAGGGGCCAAGAAGGGCCCCAAGAAAGTCAAGGAGAAGCAAAGCACACCTGGGCCACACAGAGCCTCTTGCTGGAGTCCTAGGGAAGATGGGGGGGGTGTCTTGACTGAAGACAAAAGAGCTCTCTGAGTAGTGAAAATAGTCCCACTTTCAACTGGGACCACTACACAGTGCCCTACCTGCACCCCCACATACTCTAGTCCTTTATCTCCTGAAAGCAAAAGTAGCCTAAGGGTTCAGTGCCGCTCCTGGGACTCACGTACTTGTCCCCAGGAACACTGCAAGAAAGGGGATACAAACCCCCCACATCAATGAAGAGCCAAGTGTTCATGAAAGGAAACACCACACTGATGAGAAGCCAAAGGCCCACCACCTTGGGCCACACCTCACCTGATGTGACTCATGTAGCCATATGAATGGGCTCTGTGACCCAGGGTCCCTGTGGCAGGCACAAGGCATGCAAACCAGATATGACTGAAGACCCCACATGCCTTGTATAGAATAGAGAATAGGTAATCCCTAGAAAGGGATCCTCAGAATATCATCCTCCATGAGCTGGGATATGTATTCTGTTGAGAAGATAGACCCAGAAGAAGAAAGGTCTACCCTGTTTCCAAGACTCATGATAACAAAAGATGGGAGGAGCTAGAATAGATGTCATCCCAGACAAGAGTAATCATCCACCCACTGTCCCTTGAACATGGATGAGGTTAGGTTAGCAAAATGGGTGATATGGCCCTAATGACCTAAGTTTGATTGAGACATACATTTTGAAAGATAAATGCAAGCCAGTCATGGTGGTTCATGCCTATAATCCTGGCACTCTGAGAGGTTGAGGTGGGTGGATTGCTGGAGCTCATGAGTTTGAGACCAGCCTGAGCAAAAAATGAGACCCTCATCTCTACTAAAAATAGAAAAACTGAGGCAAGAGGATCACTTAAGCCCAAGAGTTGGAGGTTGTGGCTCAATGCCTGTAGCTCAAGGGTACCAGCCACATACACTGGAGCTGGCAGGATTGAATCCAGCCCCAGCCCACCAAACAACAATGACAACTACAACCAAAAAATAGCTGGATGTTGTGGCAGGCATTTGTAGTCTACTTGGGAGTCTGAGATAAGAGAATCGCTTGAGCCCAACAAGAGTCTGAGGTTGCTGTGAGCTGTGATGCCACAGCACTCTACTCAGGGCAACAGCTTGAGACTCTGTCAAAAAAAAAAAAAAAGAGAGAGAGAAAAGAAAAGGAAAGGAAAGAAAGATTAATGTAACATTAAAACACACTCACCCACACTTACCAAATACTCCTCATGCGCACTTGCCAAACTGGGAATCTACCCAATCAAAATAAAAGCTATTAAGTTCATTGCATGGTCCTTTCAGTTGAAAAGGTAGAAACCACCTGTCTGTAGGAGGGAATGGCTTTAAATACTAATATACATCCCATTCTAGAAATATATATTTTTTTCTTGAGACAGAGTCTTACTTTGTCGCCCTTGATAAAGTGCAAAGGCCACAATGTGCCAAGGCACCACCACAATGCCCAGCTATTTTTAGAGATGGGGTCTCGCTCTGGCTCAGGCTGGTCTCCAACTCCTAAGTTCAGGCAAACTACCCACCTCAGCCTGCCGAAGTGCTAGGATTATAGGTATGAGCCAGAGTGCCCGGCCTCCATTCTAGAAATATTCTAAAGGTTTGAAAAAGATGAGTTTTTGTACTGATGTGGAAAGGCGGTCATGATTATTTTTTACATGAAAGGGCAAGTATCTGTGAAATATCACTATGGGGGTAAAACCTCCTCCCTACCTATGCTATACACCCTTTCCAAACACAGGTTATTTAAGCACAAAGAAAAGAGCAATACACAGAGATTTGTGGGAGAGGAAGAGACTATTTTCATTTTATTCCTGCTATGCTTCACTGGTTTCAGTGAAAACGTGTTATATGATTTCAGATAATTTATTCCCAATAGTGGTTAATACAGTGACTTAGAAACATTAAGGTCAGAGAAAATTTTAACCTTTAGTTTTCCATTTTCCCAGTTGAAATAGAACATTTAATTTTCAAGGATTACTGATATAAATCAATACTAATGAAATACAATTTCATTACCTTTTCCCCAAAGGAAACAGAGACAATATATATCCCCCACAATAATTTTAAGACGGAAGGCTAGGATGGGGAGGGAGGAGAGAAAACCTTACCGGCTTCTCATTGGTATGAAGTGTCTGATGTATATTAAGTTGTAAGCCATGATTAAAGGTCTTTCTACATTCATAAGGTTTCTTTCCAGAATGAATTCTTTGATGATGTGAGAAGCTTGAATGATAGCTAAAGGCTTTCCCACATTCCTTACATTCATAGGGCTTCTCACCAGTATGAATTCTCTGATGCTGAGTAAGGTGTGAATGAAGTCTAAAGGCCTTACCACATATCATACATTCATGAGGTTTCTCACCAGTATGAATTCTCTGGTGTCTCTTGAGGTGTGAACACTGCCTAAAAGTCTTTCCACATTCCTTACACTCATAGGGTTTCTCACCAGTATGAACTCTCTGATGTAGGGTAAGTTGTAAGCCATCACAAAAAGCCTTTCCACATTCATCACATTCATAAGGTTTCTGGCCAGAATGAATTTTCTGATGGTGAGAGAAGCTTGAGTGATAGCTAAAGGCCTTTCCACATTCCCCACATTCATATGGTTTCTCACCAGTATGGATTCTTTGATGTATGGTAAGATGTGATCGATGCCTGAAAGTCTTTCCACATTCTTTGCACTTATAGGGTTTCTCACCAGTATGGAGTCGCAAATGTTCAGTAAGTTGAAAGCCACGAATAAAAGCTTTTCCACACTGCTTACATTCATAGGGTTTTTCACCAGTATGAAGTCTCTGATGTTGAGTAAGTTGTGATCGTTGTCTAAAGGCCTTCCCACATTCCTTACATTCATAAGGTTTCTCACCAGTGTGAATCCTTCCATGCAGAGTAAGTTCAGAGCCATAATTAAAGGCCTTTCCACATTCTTTACATTCATAGCGTTTTTCACCATTACGAATCCTCAGGTGTTGTTTAAGTTTTGAGCAATGAATAAATGCCTTCCAACATTCCTTACATCCATTGCATTTATCAGCATTTTGAATTCTCTGTTTAATTAGGAATGTTGTATTAATTTCTGTGCATTCCTTACATTCAGAAAGTTCTTTAGAATGAGTTTTTTCATGATGATTAAAGAATAAATGGTAATTGAAGTTTGTCCTACAATTTTTACATTCGGAGATTTTCTCTCTATGATAAAGTTCTTGAGTGAGTAAGGTATGTTGGTTAAAAATGGGCCTATTTTCATGACTGATCATAAATTGCCTGAAATAACCCTCCTGTTGTGCCTGTTGTTGCTCAAAATGACATCTGTACCCCCAAATGTCTCTGAAAATGGGTCTCTCAGGACTATGGCTTTTAAATGGTTCCATGCTAACCCTTTCAGATGATTCTGTTTCAGAAATATCCCTTTTTGGAGATAACTTCTTGAGGTCATTTCTTGATGTCAAGACTGAAAGGTAAGAAATATATTTTAATTTACGGTTGTCTGTACAAGAGAAATAAAATATCTGTGGCAGCAATGAGAAAACTGAAAATAATTCACATAAAAAATTAAAGGCTTAGCTACTTTTTTTTTTTTTTTGAGACAGTCTCACTTGTCACCCTTGGTAGAGTGCTGTGGTGTCACAGCTCACAGCAACCTCAAATTCCCAGGCTTAAGTAATTCTCTTGCCTCAGCCTCCCTAGTAGCTGGGAATACAGGCACCTACCACAACGCCTGGGGGATTTTTTGTTTTTTGTTTTTTTAGAGACAGAGTCTCACTCTTTCTTAGGCTGGTCTCAAACTTGTGAGCTTAGGCAATCCACCCACCTGGGCCTCCCAAGTGCTGGGATTACAGGTGTGAGCCACTTAACCTGGCCTAAGGCTTAGCTCTTAAGAAACAAAAGGTTGCACAGGGAAGTAAGAGCTCTTCAGAAAAAGAGGAGAGTTAATTCAGGAAATAAGTGAACTCAATGATGCTGAAATTTTGATATGTCTCTGAATCCACTTGGGAGTATGTTGCGATTATGGACGTTTTGGAAACATTCTAGATCAACTCAATAAGAATCTAAGATTAGAGTTGGTCTTAGAATGAGATCAACTTAATCAGAGTCCACAAGAATCTGTATACTTAACACTTTCTATCAGGCCAAAAGCTTATGTGGGGTTGGTGCCTATAGCTCAGTGGTTAAGGCACCAACCACATACACCAGAGCCGGTGGGTTCAAACCCAGCCTAAGCCTCCCAGACAACAATGACAACTACAACCAAAAAATAGCCAAGCAGGCACCTGCTGTCCCAGCGACTCATGAGGCTGAGGCAAGAGAATCGCTTAAGCCCAAGAGTTTGAGGTTGCTGTGAGATGTGATGCCACAGCACTCTACCAAGGGCAACATAGTGAGACTCTGTCTCACCAAAAAAAAAAGAAAGCTTATGTAGAAGCCTGTTAGTTGTTCCCAAATATCTATTTTCCCCGTCCTTTACATCCTTTATTCCAATTAAACCCATGGCTTTTAGTTGAGAATAAAGCTGCTCAATATAAACACTTTATTTCCCAAGCTCCTTTGCAGCTGGGTATACTATGTAACTACCTAAAGAAACATACAAGTATTATGTAACAGCTTCTGAGAACTTTCCTTAAGAGACAGGTGGTCTAAGCCCCTATATGGCTTATCCTCTCTCTCCCTCACCAACGCTGAGGACAATGTGGGCTTGGCGTCATGTCTGTCACATGGTGGCTTTACAGACCAGAGATACTTTTCCAGATTGGACATTAATGCAAGAGAGCATTATACTTCTATCCCTAGGTCATAGATATTACATTAAAAATGGAAAAGAAAAATAAATTAAAAATTAAACTTGTATAGTTTCAACCACTATTATTTTGTTTGTCACAAACAGCCTAACTTATCTCCACACTAATACAACTTCACATTGAGCTGAAATTTTATAAATCCAACTCCTTACCATGAAAATACAAGCACTCTGCTTACCAATAAGATTTCCCTTTTCTTCATGATGCTATAACCATCTTAACCTTCTTTCAACACCTAGGACATGCCAAAACCTTCCCCATCTCTTGATTAGATTTTTTTGTATGGCTGGCTTCATTTCAGATTAAATGTCACTTCTGGCTCAGCGCCTCTGGCTCAAGTGGCTAAGGCGCCAGCCACATACACCTAAGGTGGCGGGTTTGAATCCAGCCCAGGCCTGCCAAACAACAATGACAGCTGCAACCAAAAAAATAGCCAGGCATTGTGGTGGGCGCCTGTGGTCTCAGCTACTTGGGAGGCTGAGGCAGGAGACTTGCTTGAGCCCAGGAGTTGGAGGCTGCTGTGAGCTGTGATGCCACAGCACTCTACCCAGGGGGATAGCTTGAGGCTCTGTCTCAAAAAATAAAAAATGTCACTCCCTCAAAATTGTATTTGCAATAATATTATCTTGTTAAATCCTTGCCTTAAGTACTACTGGGATTATATAATTATTGATTATTAATCCTTTTAATGTTTATTTTCTTACCCCTAAGGTACTCAATGGTGAAAAACCATAAAACCAATCTTTATGATATAAGCAATAAGCGTTCCATAATTAATTGATAAATAAATTGAGTAAAAGAAATGGAATTCAGATATACAAAGTTTAAAACAGCTGAGAATCATAATTTAAAAGCTTTTATTATAACTACCAAACATATTTCCATGTTTCTACTCATTCCTACATCTACTGAAGTGATTTTATACATAAAGAAATATATAAATAAACCACATAGTTTTTTAATAAACCATATGCTTGATTATCTGTAACAAACTGCTCCAACTGAGTGGCTGGGCATTCCTTACTTGGTGTTTCTCCAGTGGTAGCCACATACTGTTCAGGCTTTTCTTTCTTCTTCTTTTTTTTTTTTTTTTGTAGAGACAGAGTCTCACTTTATTGTCATCAGTAGAGTTCTGTAGTGTCACAGCTCACAGCAACCTCCAGTTCTTGGGCTTGGGCAATTCTCTTGCCTCAGCCTCCTGAGTAGCTGGGACTACAGGCGCCTGCCACAGTGCCCGGCTATTTTTTGTTGTTTTTGCAGTTTGACCGGGGCCTGGTTGGAAGCTGCCAGTCTCAGTATATGGGGCTGGTGCTATACTCACTGAGACACAGGTACTGCCGTGTTCAGGCTTTTCAATAACTTCCTCACTCATATGTCTGGGGCATGGTCTGAGAAAATACTGGAATTCTTGGCCCTATCTTTATGTGGTTTCTTTATATGGTATGGTCTGTCCAGCACAGCTGTTTCAAGGTAAGAGATACCCTTTCATTTGACAGTTCAAAGCTCCAAAAGCAGGTGGAGAGATAAAGGAGGGAAGAAGGGAATATAAGCAAATGCTAGATGGTAGTTTTATGACCTGGCCTCAGAAATAACTCAGTGTCTCTTCTGCCACATCCTATTGGTTAGAAGCAAGTTACTAAGGGCTTTCCCATTTTCAAAGGAGGAAAGTTAGCCTCTATTCTTTTGGGGGAGGACTCACAGAATTTGTAGATGTGATTGAAAACAACCCTAGAATTCACACACATATGTAAATGTACAGAGGTATAAATATACACACATAGACAAACTTTCCTCCTTGCAGAAGACTTTTTTTACTATGTGAACATGCCTGTCAAATCACTACTTAACCAAGAAATAGAACATAACCAGAAAACCAGAAGCCCTCCTTAAGCACCTTCCCAGTCATTACCCATCAATCAAAGGTAAGCACTATCAGGCCTTCTGATTTTGCCTGCTTCTGAATTTCAAATGTTTGGAATCATACAGTGTTATGGTGTCCAACCCCTGGGCTGTGGACCTGTGCCAGTCTATAGCCCCAGAGCTCCACATCTCCCCTGCCCTCTCACTAACCCATCCATGGAAAAACTGTCTTCCATGAAACTTAGGAACCTTAGGCCACACAGCTGGAGGTAAGCAGCGGGTGAGCAAAGCTTCATCTATTTGAATCTATATTACAGCTGCAGCCACTCCCCACCACTCACTCCATCACCACCTGAGCCCCACCTCACATCTCTGATCACCCCCACCTTCCCTGCCTTCCCCACTCTGGTCCACCAAAAAATTGTCTTCCATGAAACCAGTCCCTGGTGCCAAAAAGACCGGGTACCACTGAAGTAGCATATACTTTTTTCTCCAGCTTTTCATCTAATACGGTTTGTGAGGTTTGTCCATAATAGTACATACAGCAGTAGTTTACTCATTTCATTACTTTCTAGCAGTACTGCTCTGAGCAGCTACTCTGAGGGTACCTGAGACTCCTTCAGGAAGTGTATGAAGCCAAAGCTATTTTCAGATGAATCCTAAGACATTATTTGCCTTTTCCACTCATTCTCTCACCAGTGTACAAGGGAGTTTCTGAGAGACTCTTGGAAGTGTGACATCACACTCTGAAATCTAATAAAGTGTGTGATTATTTATTTTTGTGTGTTCTAAAAGTTTCTAAAGTAGGTTTAGGGAATAAATGTGTACTTTCAGAGATTAGTTCATTCTGTTATAAGTACTTCTACTGTGCTTTTTTTTTTTTTTTTTTT